TACATTTCTAAAGGCATGGCCCCTGTTTATGTAGCTGAGAAGGACAGCTTTCGTGACCTCGTCAAAGTCCTTGATCCGAGGTATGTTATGCCCGGTCCTAAGCACTTCAGTAAAGTCGAGTTGCCTCGCTTATATGACGCATGCCGGGCCAAAGTAGAGAAGGATGTTTGCAGTATCGTGCATTATGCCTTGACGACTGACATATGGACGAGCAGAGATACGCAGCCCTACATGAGCGTAACCATCCATGTCATTAACAAAGACCTCTGCGCTCGTTTACAGACTGCGTACTTTCCAGGTGACCACAGGTCAGGTGGTATATCGTGATATATATTGTTATCGTGACATAAAATAATTCATATCGTGATAAATATTTTTTCCATATCGCCCAGCACTAGTACGATGTACATTTTAGAGGTGTTTTGTGTTGTCCTGACGCCTCATGACAAACAGCAGAGTTAGAGTTTCTGAGATGATGCGTTCAAAGGAGACACAGGCCTGAAAGGAGGGCAGCCATGAAATGTGAAAGGAGCATTAGAAGAGGACAAACAATCAATTTATGAGTACCCACACGCATAAATGTCCTACCTTTCCCAGGTGAAGAAAGGTTTTTGGATGTTTGATTTTTACCTGATGTTAAAGTTGTAACCCTTCTTATTATAGTCTGAGGTGATGACACCTGTCGTTACCGTGATGACACAAATCATTGTTGAGCTGATCCTTTGGTAGACAAACAACAAACAGCAGCAGGTGGATCTCTTTCCACTGTAGCCAAAGGTTTTTAAACAGAATTTAGTAAGTAATAACTTGTGACTGATGTCACGCTGAACTTGGTTTGCTTGCAGAGGACGTGGATACATGCAGTTTGTTGCATGTGGTTTTTTAAAGCTTGCTGTGGTTGCTGCTAGCTGCTCGATTCAAACTGATCTGCTGGCAAACCCAAACTTACTTTGACTTGTTAGGCAGACACATGTTAAAGGACACCTGTTAGAACTTTTAACCTTTTTTTAAATCTTTGGACTAAAGCAGTTACACTTGGTCTATGTGCAGCTCATCAGACAGATATCATGGCAAAATGTGCAGTAGACACACATGTCCACTGTGTCCGTGCAGAAGTTGCTCTAAGCTGCAGTAACAGCACGGGGGGGATATTTTATTTGTGTTTAAACAGGCATAACTAACACATTTACATATAAATTTGTGCTGTCAGCGTTAATCTAGTTAAAAAGATGTTAACGGCATAACTGCATTAACGCAGCAAATCTCCGTTAGCAAGTTACCGCGGATCGCCCCTCGCGTGGCGCTGGACCGCGCTGACGCCATGCAGCCCCACGCACAGGGCGATCTACGGTAACTCGTTAACAGACATTTGCCACGTTAATGCAGTTATGGCGTTAACGTCTTTTTAATTAGATTAACGCTGACAGCACTAATGTAAATACACATTAGCTGCCTAGCTTCATCGTTTCAGCCAATTACGAACCTTAGAATCTACTTCATACATTTTTTACTCACTGCTGACTTCTTGACTTCAAATGTATAATGCATTTGCATGTGTGCATGCATGAGTGTCCATTTCACATTTTGGAGAGGCACAGTGTGAAATGGACACTGTGGAATACACGTTTTGCTGTGATGCTGGGTTGCATCAGTTTATTTATTCTTAATGAAGTCGTTTTTTCGCTCCCACCTCCCACTCACCAAACACTCTTCTGATTGGCTACCACATGCAAATAAAAAAAACTATATATACAGATATATAGTTGACTGCATTTAAACTGAATATGATCACACCATCATGTCATCATATCCAGGAAGTTGTTTCCATAATTTCCTAATAATAATTTCAGTTTCTCTTGGCCAGATGATAGGACAGTTTTCTTCTTTATCTCAGACTGTTTTAAACGAGCTTGGGCCCACATCCTGAAAAAGCATGCTATCCCTATGCTATCCCTCCCATGTTTACCTTAAAAACCTCAGCCAAATTCTAGATTAAGATTTAGGAGCTGATTAGGGTTTGTTTTTTAAGCGGCGAGAACACACTGGCTGCTTTAAAGTAATCTGGAATGCAGCCTGATGAAGGAGAATTATTTATGACAGAGAGAAGCTGGGGGAGATGACAGGCAAAACCTCTTTCATGAAGTTAGGAGGAACAATGTCAGTTGGCCATGTGACTATATCACTATGTCTTTTGTGGGAATTAGCTTAAATTTGGAGCACAGAACTGGGTCAGACATTTGGAAAAGGAACTGTGACCTGATACAGCGGTCCCCAACCTTTTTGCGCCACAGACCGGTTTAAATGTCAGATAATATCTTTAAGGTGTCGCGGATAAATACGACAAAATAAAAGGATACGAGCAAACCCTGAAAACCATCAATTTCACACCCGAGCCTCAGCTCTCGCAGCCCGGCACCAAACGGACTCACGGTACCAGTCCGAGGCCCGGGGGCTGGGGACCGCTGCCAGAAAAGACATTCAGAAGATATTAGAGACTGAGTAGCATTTAGTTAATAGTACTGAACAGGATCCTTGAATTGTGCTTATTATTGTTAATCAAACGACCAAAATAAGAAGTTCTCACATCTTTCATGAGCCGCCCTCATCACAGGGCTTTGGGACGAGGGCAGCTTTTCATGTCTCCGGGGAAAAGCGTTGAGTCTGTGTATATGCTCTGAAGACTCTTTTTTTGTCATCCTTTAAGCCACTCTAAGGAAAAAGAAAGGTGGTAAGTTACAGCGGGCATGCTTTCAGTCTGATCTAGTATCTCCAGTGATTGATTTCTGTCCCGTATTTCCCACACAGTCCACCCCACTGTGATTAACTAACACTGTTGTATTTAGTGATTCCTTTTCTGACTCGCTCCATTTCGACCGAATTAAACCAAATGGAGCTACGCCCATAGTGCATTTGCATGATTTACAAAGTGTTTTGATTGCAGCTGTTTCTGTCTTCTAAATGTTGTTAGTGCATGGTTAAATGTCGTAGTAATCACAGGCTATAGATTCTTCTTGCTGAGCATTCCCAGGGTTTGCTTTTGATTAAAGGGGCATGTCACCTCACAGTGCTTCTTTGCAGGCAGACCCACAAACCTAATTTGCAACACTATCAGCAGTAAGCATACACTGTTTACTTTCTAGAATCTTTTTACGCTTTAAACACAAAAATATACATAGTGGCAGAGCCTTAATGAGGAATTACAAATGAGTGTGAGTCAGTGTTTTTTCACTATACCTGACCTTTAAAGTTTCATGTTTCTCTTCTTCATGTGTGCATTTTTCTGTAAGCTACTTGTGTGTGTTAGTGTGTGTGTTGTGTGAGGAGGAGGAGGTTTATTCTAGGAAATGTTTCACTCACACATAGGTTTCCAGGGCAACCGTGTTGCATGTTGTTTGATAGGTTGTAGCTGCGATCCAACTGGGAGACAGATCAGAGAGAGAGTGAAAAGGAATGTGCGTCTTTCTGCTATTTCTGTGTGTTTGTGTGGTTTTTACCTCTAACCGTAGTTAAGGTCATTGATGCTCCTTTCCTCCCCTTTCCTCTCCTCTGTGTATAGATGCGCAGAAGAAGAGGATTGTTTTCCAAGTCACTCTAAGTAATCACTCCCCTGATGCATGGAAGCTTTGTACATCCTAGACAGTTGTAGGCAGGTGACACAGTAAGAGGAGAGATCAGGGCTAGCATGTAGCTTCTCTGAGCAAAACCCTTTAGCTGGACTCTATTTGATGGCATCATCACACACCAGAGGGAAGTTCAGGTTTGCCAAATTTGCCATTGATAGCTTTCTCGTGTTGCAGGCAGAGTAAAAAAATAAGATAAAAAAACAATAAAAACACAGAGAAAGGTAATGGCAAGCTTGGCAGGCTTTCACATCCATTGCTCATTTTACATTTAACGAGGGAACGACCCTGAGAGCTGGATGATGCTGCTGAGTCGGCTGTTTGGAAAGAGCTTGCACGGCTTCCAAGGCTGGACATGCCAGGCGCATTTCATCAAAGTTGCCCTCTCTCCCCTTCCCCTTGCTCCTCCTCCCTCATACCCCCACACCCACAAAAAAAAAAGTTTCAACTGTTTTTGGTTTCAGTTTCATTCACAATTCGGTGTGGAAACACAAGGAAGGGTCACTGTAAATGACTGAATGAGTAGCTTGCATTTGACCCATCAGATCTGAAACTAAGGCTTTGCAAGTTCACTCCTGCCCCTTGTCACGTTTTTCGGTGCTGACATATTATGACTTGGTTTGCTTTGCAGACAAAGTAGAAGAGATGACCCATGCCCAGAAGACATCACCTGTTGACATGAAGATAGCCACAATTAAACCACGCCCATCCAGTCGCTGCTTGGTTACGCCAACTGATATGAATGTAAGCATAAGCGAACTCACTTTATGGTGATCATTGTTTCAGATCGCTGTTACTGTAAATTAGATTGTTCAGTATCAGGTTGTGTGGCTGTACCCTGTGTTGCTTCCCCAGACTGGATGCCATGATGGAAAACTGTTTGTCCTTTTAGAGCTCCTGTAGTGGAAAGCTTCAGGGCTAATGCTGATGTTTAGCAGCCGATTTAAGGTTAGGGTTAAGTTTACGTGTAAGAAAATATTATAAAAGTAGAGCTGATCTTAAAGTGCATGTAAGAGAATTCATTTGAAAGATAACATCTTCCCGTTTCTGAAAGTTTGCTTTATTTAAAACACCTGAAATCAGTAGCTAGTGTCAAAACAGAAAAATTGTCCTCCTATTTGCAAGTAGCAGTCAACACAGCCAGTGGCAGGTGATGCCTGGACCTGGCCGATATGTTATGTATCCTAATGTGTGAATTCCTGTAAGCAAATGCTGTTATTGTTATTTAGAGATCTAATGAAACAATTATATATTCCTAGTTATATTAATAATTTACAATTGACTTTTCAGTCCTTGTATCATGACCGCCAAGGAGTAGCTGTGGTGCCACCCACTGTGCCAGGAGCCTTCCTGGGGATACCTGAGAAGGGCACTATGAAAAAGCAAAAGTCCATAGGTATGATGTATATACAGTAAAAAATATGTGTAGGTGTGTGTGTGAGTGTCCAGTAACCTGTGCTTTTAGCTTGTCATAATATTTTATTAATGCTCTGAAGACTTGCTCTTTGTGGTCTAGCAATATTAAAGCTAATTATAGATAAATTAGAGTGAGCCAGTCAGCAAAGTGTGCTTTCAGGCGATAATATTGGAGGTCATTAAGCATGTGCTCAAACCTCATTCTCACTCCCGAACTAGAGGGATGTCATACATGCTAATGTTGGTTTCAGGTTTTTTGACTTGCAGTGCCATCAGAATTACCACGAAATTATCTTCTTTATCTTCTTTTTGCACAGTAATCCATTCAGGGCTCTATCTACAAACTGCATAGCCATACTCTTCTCTACACTCTCTGAAAATTAAGGACCTTATTGTCCCTTTAACCCTTTCATGCATGAATTATGACAACCTCAAACAGGATTTTTTATTTGAACTTCATTTTTTTAAACATGTACTTTTCCACTACATTGGACACTGATGTGCATGGAGCAGCACATCAGTGTCCAATGTAGTGGTTTATGTGCAAGTATACCATCAATACTGTAACAATTACAAGAAAACATGGACAAACTAATTTAAAAATTATTATTTTTTATTATAATTAAAAAAATTGTTTTTATTTTTTTACAATTTTATAAATTATAAAAATTAGGGCTGTCAGCATTAACGCAGCGTTAAAGCATTCATCGCGATTAAGGCGATTAACCTTTTTAATGCGCTCGACCCATCTGGAGCGCAGAATGAACAAGCTCTGGACAAACTGCCCCAAATGCGTTGGCAGAGACATTTCAGGGATTTTGACTCCGTCTGCGCTCCAGATGGGTTAATTATTAATCGCGTTAGTCGTGATGACGGCGCGTTAACGCTGACAGCACTAAAAAAAGTCGATATATTCGTCCAATCGCCCAACCCTAGTGACCACTATGCGTGAAAGGGTTAACGGTATAGAGACTTGTCACGAGGCTGCATCCTCAAGGGTACTCAATGGTACTACTCGGTGGGTGCTTTGTGGTTTGTACCTACAGAGTAGACTCTTAAAACTCTGGTGCAAATTTTATATCTTAATGTAAAAGTTAAAACTGGATACTGGACTAGACATAGATTTTACCCACATAGACCTTTATTTCTGGTATTATATGTTAGCAAAAACAGGAGATTGATGTGAATTTTTGAGCTAATTTGAGCCATCAGCTCCTCTGGGTGGCTGAGGCTCAGCAGGTAGGGCAGGTCTTCTACTAATTGGAAGGTCAGTGGTTCACTTCCTGGGTCCTCCAGTCTGCGTGTACTCATGCAAGCTATTGAATGCTGGTTTGCACCCAATGCGTTCATCAGAGTGTGAGTGTTTTGCGACTGTTAGACAGCGGGCTAAGGTATAGAAAAAGGTGCTTGTGTGCTTGGTGAATGAGTCTTGTACTGAAAACGTGCTTTGAGTGTTCAGCGTGGAAAAGGCCTGGATAAGTAGCAGGCCATTTGCCCTTATTTCTGTAATAACAGCTACATAACTTCTGTCCTGATTTCCAGATTGAACATTTCAATTGGTGAGAATATTCCTACTTACTGTCGAAACAGCAGTTACATTTCACATCTATCTGGCCTCTCACAAATTTCAGGAACCTTTCCTGCATATATAAATAAATCCAGAGAGAGCTAAAGAAGGCATTTCTTTTGGAACTAGGGGGCCAAGCAGGAAGTGAAACAAAGGGATGTTTCCCCTAGGTCCTGAGATAATTATTCCTTCTGCTCCATTTCTTCAAGGTACATCGGAGGATGAGAAACAGGGATTCCTCACACCTCCCCTACTCAAGTTCTCACGCAGTCTCTCTATGCCTGACACCTCAGAGGACATCCCTCCTCCCCCAGCCATTTCACCCCCTTCACCACCTGCCTACAACTCAGCTGCTGGACCTACACCCAAGAGCTATGGCACAACACGACCAAGCTTTTCCCAAAACTCGCCCAATGCAGTGACGACCATAAGCCGGACCACCGACGTCGGTACGTTGAGGCGTGGCTATTTCCGTCAGAGCTCTGAGCACTTTGAGAGCACACGAACTCGGGGGCGTACGCCAGTGCCTGAGAACCCGTATTCAGAGGTGGGCAATAAGACGCTGTATGTGCCAGCAAAACCAGCCCGAAGGAAGGGTATGTTAGTAAAGCAGTCTAACGTGGAAGACAGCCCAGAGAAGACGTGTCACATGCCAACAAGTCCATCAGGCCCAGTTTCCATGCCTACTACGCCTGTAGAAAGAACATGCTCCTCTATCCCTATTCCCACCATCATTGTAAAGGAGCCATCCACTAGCAGCAGTGGCAAGAGCAGCCAGGGTAGCAGCATGGAAATTGAGCCTACAACCCCTGAACACCCGCCTCTCACACCTGCTGTCGGTGGAAGTGGAGGTTTACGCCCTGAAGACCCCCTTTCACTAAGCAACCCCTTTGCAGCAGCTATTGCTGGAGCAGTACGGGACCGCGAAAAGAGGCTCGAGGCAAAAAAGAACTCGATTGCCTTCCAGTCAATAGACATCGGGGATGATGACTTGAGTGGTCCCACGCCAACCCCTCGCCTTCGCCAGTCCAAGTCCATCGATGAAGGCATGTTCAGCAGCGACGAGCGTCTTCAAAGGATATTAGCCCCTCCTTTGGCAAAGCAGCTCGGTCGCCCTGTTGGTGGCGGTAGTGGAAATATGACAGATTTCAACACTCCTGAGCCCACAGTTGTTCGGGAGCCACTAAACACTAGAACAGGGCAGTGTCCCAACCTGGACAGTCCTGTTAGCCTCCCAGCCACTCCTCCTAAGAGCCACTACAGGGCCAATGGAACCTACCTCCATCCTGTCACTGGCAAGCCGTTGGACCCTAATTCTCCACTAGCTCTGGCCCTTGCAGCTCGTGACCGGGCCATGAAAGAGCAACAAAACCATCCTCAGAATCAGTCTCAAAATAATCCTCAGGTTCAACAAACCCCCAAGCATGAAGCCCAGTCCCTGCCAGTTCAGCAAAGTCACAAACCTGACCTCAACCAGCCTCTATTTATTGACACCAAACTCCGCTCTGGAATCGAGACGAGTTTTGCTGCAATCTCCACGGCAACAATGGGACGGCCTGGCCGAGGTGGCCTTCAAAGACAAATGACAGAGCAGAAGTACGAGTCTGATGGAGCACGGGAAGAGCGGCAGCATCAGGCACTTGAAGAGAGGAAAAGCGCACCAGCAGATGTGGCAGACACATCACAGCCCAAGTCAGCTGGATTACTGATGGTTCACACCAGCACAGACGTAAGCAACAAGGCGAACAACCAAGAGGCCGAGGGGCAGGACAGCAACCGACCGTCTGAGCTGAAAGATCCAAACCAGCCTGATCCTCTTAGTTCTTCAACACTGTCCACTCCACAGCCACCCACATTAAGGAGGAGGAGCATTCCTTTAAGCGAATCCATGGACGAACCTGTAAAACTGCCCTTTCGCATCCCTCCTCCCCCTCTGGCCTCAGTTGACATTGATGAAGAATTTGAGTTCTCAGAACCCCTCCCCCCACCTCTGGAGTTTGCAAACAGTATTGACATTCCTGATGACCAGGCTAGTGCCATTGCAGAGATGATTCAGCAACAGAGACGGAATGGGGGGCCTTCTCTACCCCCATACCACCCTCATGCCCCACCACCTGTCACTGATCAACACAGAAGGTTGGCAAACAATATGCCCCCCTCGTATGCCCCTCCACCTGACCCAGAATCAGGGGTAGGTGACTCAGGCATTGAAGAGGTGGACAGCCGCAGTAGTGGGGATCCTCAGCACATGGAGACCACCAGCACAGTGTCTAGCATCTCCACCCTGTCATCAGAAGGAGGCTTCTGTGACAGTGCTTTGGAGAGCCTCTATGCCACTGCAGACGGTCACGCCTTCCTGGTGGATCGGCCCCCTGTGCCACCAAAGCCCAAGAGCAAGTCTGTCATTAATAGAACGTCACTTTATCATGATGCTCTCATTGAAGAGCCACCAGAGTCTTATGGGTCACCGCCTCAGGCCCCTCTCCCTCCTCCCTCGTCCTCTGAACCTCCTAGGACTCCTACTCAAAGGACCTCCAAGCTGTGGGGTGATCAGCCCCCTGAGCTCCGCAGCCCCCCATCCACACCAGACTCCAAGAACACAGTTATCACTGAGCTGAGCACCATTCTACAGCATATGAATCGCGACAGGCCAACCAAGCCAGGAGAAAGCCTTGACTCCCCAACAGGCACCAGAGGGGGCTTCGGAACAAGGTATGTGAAGTCATTCCTTACTTTAGTTTTTCCTTTCTTCTGTTGTTTAGATTTTGTTCATGTGTCATTTGTTTATTTTGCACCTTTTTCATGTTAGTGCTTAGTTACGTAAGAACTTTATTCACTGTAGAGTCTGAGCAAACTCATTTTCTGTCTAATATAGCTTCTAGAAAGCTGTAAAATTTCATGCATATTGGCTTATAAGCTGATCCACTAATGATTGATCACCACTGATTATAACCAGGCATCCATGAATGCTTAGGCTAAATCTGAAAATAGTCCGAAGTAGTCCAAGACAATTTGGAAGAACATGAAGTTGCTTTATTAAGATACAGAATTTGATAAGTAAGCTATTAGGATGCCCCCCCCCCCCCCAGAGTCTAGACGTTGCTCATGATGAAGATGGAGGATTGGATGATGACCACAGTACACACAGGGCACACAGAATAAACCCTGATTGGCTTGTAGAAGGCGAGCAGGAGTATAATTGGAGTAGAATGATGATGTCAGTGTTGAGTTTGACAGTGAGTAGAGAGTAAGTGGTGAAAAGAATATGTGAAAAGTAGTGCTGTCAGCGTTAGTCTCGTTAAAATGATCTTAACGCAATAACTGCATTAATGCGACAAATCTCCGTCAGCGAGTTAGCGCGGATTGCCCCGTGCGTGGGGCTGCACGGCGTCAACACGATAGCACAGTTAGCTCGTTAACATGTGCTGTCCAGCCCCACGCACGGGGCGATCTGCGCTAACTCGCTAACGGACATTTGCTGCGTTAATGCGGTTATGGCGCTAACGTCATTTTAACGCTGGCAGCACTAGTGATTAGTGAAAATTTGAACTCATTTTTCTGTTTTTGTTGTGACAAGTTTGGTTTTGTGTAGTCCGGTGACACAGACATCCAGCTGTTACCTGTGTTTTCATTGTTGATTATAGCTGTTGTGTTTGTCAGAAGAACCCAAAAGGATTATGGGATTGGGAGGAACATCAGCTTGTTCTGTGAACTGTGTGTGGCTGCAGGGTTTTGCTACATGTGTTGTTTGAAATGGTAGTATGCCTGTTCTGGTTTACACTCTGTTCATCCGTGCATGATGTATGGATGCATCACATTCCAGAATAAAGCACCTGCTGACGTCAGTCAGCCATGTTGAACATTTCTTGTGATAATATTTGGTCACCGTGAGATTTCACTTTATTGTGGTAGCAGTGGGAATTTTCTGAAGATTTAATGGAAGAGTTACTGTGGGATTCCTCACTGGGAATGTAAAGAGACTGGTTCTTATTTAGTGCTTTTCTACTCGCCTTTTTCACACAAGCAGTTATTTCTATGGTTAAGTGCTTTTGAGCTGACATTCACACTGATGGATGCATCCGAGAGCAACGTAGGCTTAGTATCGTGCCCAAAGATATTGAGCATTTAGACTGGAGCAGCCAAGGGATTGAACCACCAACCTTCCCATTAGTAGATGACGCCTCTACTACCTAATTTATTTCACTATTTAGCTTAATCCTCCTGTGTCACATTTCTTCTGTTTGCTGGCACATTTTACAGTAAATGTCCATGTGAGAAACACAGAGCACCGTGCACGTAGCTCGTTTGTTGAACAGCCACAAAGGCATTAGTTGGCAAATAAATAAAAAATTAGTTTTGTGAGTGGTGCCGCTGCCTAAACATTTGACCACAGCTGTACCTGTTGATGGTTAAAGAATGATCAGTTAGCAAAGCAAGAGTGACGCGTTGTGCTCGACACAAGCTGGAACAACGTTTTGATGGAAACTGCGCCTGAACCAGCCAACCTCATGTTTTTTCATTTTTCATTTTTTTAACCCACATCTCACTCCTGTGAGAGGGAATAAAAAGCACGATAAATAATTCACTGCTTGCATGCATTTTGTATGAACAATCCCATCACTCATCAGAGACTTGTAGAGAGTGCCACGAAGGTTTTTGTTCCTCTGGGCACTTGTGCTTTCTGATTTAATAAACACTATTAGCTCCACGCAGCGGTGTCCATTTGGGGTAATTGCAGCAGGATGCCCAGCAGCAGGTCCAGTAGGTCCAGCTCTGTGTTCCTCCCTTCATGCTTCATTCCACACGCTGTCGCGTTATCCTCATCGTCATCCTCTGCAGCTTAAAGTCGTGTTTGTTGACCTTTAACTTCTGTATTCATTCCAGCTCACGCCTTTCCAGCTTCATCTCCATTTTTTTCCAGTCTCCCGTTGTTCCTTCACCTCTCCTTTCTTCATGCCCTTCTGTGTCTCCCACTCTCACAGGTAGGTTCCCTCATCATCCGACATTCCATCAAAGGCCTGTTTTCACTTATGTGATCGTATGTATTTCTGCCATGTGACATGGTATAGAAAATGGTATGCTGTTTAAAATGTCGAGTGTTTAGTTGCAGAAAGGGTTGGTCTACATGGAGCTTGTTAGTGACAAACAGAGGAACTAAGTACAGTTGTCATTTGAACAATAGAAACAGTAAGGTACTAGAGATCAAAGTTAAGAAAAGGTAAGACACGTTTTTTTTTTCGTACTTTCGTACTAAAAGTATTGGTCTACAAATGTAGAAATGTCCTGTGTTAAAAACCACTTGCACAGGTGAAAAGCCACTCAATGCAGAATGATGAAACAGCATGTAAGGGGCTGAATGTCCCAAATGAATCTTGCATTCCTTAAAATGTCTCTAAAATGTAAAAGCAAACCTCGTTTATTCCTATAAAATCACATCAGTGGCTACACAGAGGTCCACTAAAGCCTTCATCAGCAAAAACACCGATACTTACAGAACAGCATTTAGAGGTGATATCTGTGGATGAGACAGGATGAGCTTTATCTTCCCTACAAGATAAAAACCTAAATGTGTTCAGATCAGTTCCTTTACTGGATCTAAGAGCCAGATGTTTCCTCGGTTAGAGGTGACTGCAGCGCTCTCGCCAAAGTCAGTGAGTTATTTGTAACTGCTTTTCAATCGTCGCACCGATGCATTTGTTTCTCGTGTCAGCTTAAACCCCGCTCTGTTGTATACACCAGGGTCTCTGATTATCTGCCTGCATTGCCTGCGTTACTTAGTGTGGTGGAGAAGGCTGCCAAGCGCCGCAGCAGAATATACGGTTGTAGGCAGCTAGAGAGCGCCTCGTCATCTGAAGAAGCCCGAGGAGGGTGAAGGTGCTCCTGTTTCTGTGACCGTCAAACAGATGGCAACAGAAATGCACAGAACATGGCCTAGATTCACACATGCTCTCCCTCTGTCACTGCATCCTTTGCTCTCTCGCTCATTCTTGTGCACACTCTACAGCTCTCTCCCTCTCTCGGTTTTCTGTCTTCTCTGGTATGTTGGAATCAGCCAAAGAAGCGGTGATAACATCAGATTTTCTTCTCTGGATATTTGTACTTCTCTCTCTCCTGGTCTCCCAGATTAAATGTGCGTTGGTTGTGCCTGTGGACGAAATGGTTGCCTAGTAACCGCCTGATGAGAGCAGCCTTGAGGCCTGCAGTGATGTCAGTTTGAGTCGGGGGAGGGGTGCAGATTTATATGCGAGCGTGTGCGTGCATGTGTGTAAGAGAGAGATGGAGCAAGAGATGGCAGGCCTAACCCTCGGCAGAGTTCAGCATCATCTCACGCAGGTCACGTGCTGCGCTGCTTTTGTAGGCCATCCTTATGTAACCCGTGTCAGTCTGTGTGTGAGAGCGCGTATTAAAGGCTTCTATAAAAGGCTTCTGTGCATGGCAGTGAGCGCGACCCTGTATGCACGAGCCGGTGTGTGCTAGAAAGACGAAGGGAGTCACGCGATGCGTGGGCGTGGTGAAGGTGAGGTCTCCCACCACCGATATCAATAGCACTGCATCATCTTGTACCAAAGTCACTCAGCTGATGGGAAGCAAGCACTGTCCCTGTGCTCAGCAGAGGCCACGTGTTCGTGGTGCTTATGTGTGGGGGAGAATGCAGAGTGTAAGATTTGTATTTGGCTGGAATGAGTGATCGTTGGTCAAAGAGGTCACAGACATTCAGGTTACATTAACTTACATTAGTTAATATAACCTGAACATCTGCATTTCTATAGTGCTTCTCTGGGCCCAGCCACATTACTTTGTTCACAAATATTCATACAGAAATTTATTCAATCCACACAGGACTTCATCTACTTTGCATTCACATCTACAGCCAGTTGCGATCCACCAAACAACCTAACACTGATGTCTTTGGACTGTAAGTGCCTGGTGTAATGTTTCAGCCACATGTGCCTACAGCAGGGGGGGCAACTCCAGGTCTTGAGTGCCGGTTAGATGTGTCCTTGATCCAACACAGCTGATTCAAATGGCTAAATGACCTCCAGAGGCCTGGTAATGAACTAATCATTTGATTCAAGTGTGATGACCCAGGGTGAGATCTAAAACCTGCAGGACACCGGCCCTCGAGGCCTGGAGTTGGACACCTCTGGCCTACAGGCTCAGGGTGAGGTTTCTTCAATGCATGATTTCTCTGTGTCATGTTTAGGGAGTGATCGCTGTTCTACCTCTTTTCCAACAATAGAGTAAATACCTTAGCTTCCATATGGTTGTCAGTTACTTGGCTGGACTTGGCTTAACAATGCCTCTGTATGGAATTTAGACCTATTTAGTGCCCCCAAATTCTACCCATGATGGAGCTATTGGGACTTGTGACAGGAAGTGTGATGTCCGGCTTTCTCAGAATATAAAATTCATAACTTAATCTGGACTATATAAATCGTGGATGGCTCCCGAGGTTATGCAATCCACAGTACTTTGCTACACAGCAGAGCGCTGTGCTCGGCTTTTCATGTGCTACTCTTTGTAGCTGCAAGAAATGGAATTAAGGTCAGCGAAGCTAAAGAAGACCCTGCGCTAATCAGCCTTAATAGCCAATTACATGCTTTTCACATCAGTTTAACACCTGCAACAAAAAGTCTTTCACAGATGATAGAAGAGCAATTAGAGAAACACTGGAAAGGCTTCGAATGAAGTATTTTTAACCTTTCAGTGGAGTAAAACCTGTTTCTAAAACATGTGGTGTTGTCCCGTGTTCTTCTTTTGTCTTTCATGTGTGCAGTTTTCTCTGTGGTCAACATGGTGTCCTCTGTTTCCATCTCATCCATCCAACATGCGCTGTGATAAAGTGAAAGTTTTATTTACTAAGAAGCACTTTAACTTTGGCCTAGTTCCATTTTGGCAGAAGGACCCCCTTAGTCTACTTCACTTCCCCTCGGGCCTTTCCATATGCTACAAGTAGGAAAGAACAATATCTAGGCTACACATAGCACAGAGAAATTGATGGGAAAAGTCCGTCTGACAGGGCAGAGGTCAGATTTGGACTGCTTTCTGCCTCCTGGCGCAGTTTCTCAGTGCAGTCAGTCAGTGTGCGCACAAACTGTGTGTTGACAATTCAATCAATCTATTAGCAGAGGACTCAACTGGAAACTGAATCCTCAGGGGAAGCTGAATTAAGGTATGATGGTTCTGCATGGATTGATGTGTGTTTGTGTGCTGTGGTGGTGAGGTGTGGGGGTGGGGGGGTGTCTCACTGCTCCACAGTCCAGCATGGCCGTCACAACCCTCCATCTGGAGCCTCAGGTAATGTGTGATGGTGATGCTTCTTACTCATTCAGATTTACACAGCACACACTTGTGTGTGTTTGTTTTTGGTTGTTGTGATGTCGGGTTACTTAATAACTGGCTCGGTTGAACGGGGACATAAGGATTTTCTTCAGAATATACATTCCCACTGCACCACATCTTGCGTGTGATTCTCAGCTCCTTGTAATCAGCGCAGCTCTGCTCGCTGCAGCTTCACGGCTACACTGGCCTCACCTCAGCTGTCAGTCTCTCCAACAGCAAAGATCATTCCTGATGTAATTCCACCTCCACCTTGAACTCATCAGTCACTTCTGTCACCATTATCTCACTGTCCTCATGTCCTGCAAGACCTTCACGTACTTCTATGACTTCCTCTTGGAGTGCCACAGCTCCTCTCTTGACACCCTATCGTATGCTTTCTCTAGATCCACATAGTTCTCTGTCAACACTCTCAAAGCAAACATTACATCTGCAGTGCTTATTTTCAGCTGGAAGCCGCACTACTGCTCACTGACCCTCACCTTCTTCTCAGCCTAGCTTCAACCATCCCAGAAAGTTCATTCTGTTCATCTGGACGCAGCGTTTTCAGTGAGAGGAATCTTTAATTACTCCTCCACACGACTTCTTCAATCTCAGCTGACAGCAGGTTTCTTCAACAGCACATTTGCATAATGACCAAAACTTACACCAATAACCAAGAGTGCGCCATGAGCTCAGTTTCATCAGTTTTAATAGGCAAATTGTCATGGCCACTGATTACTGGTCACGGCAGTTTGCATATTAACAATACCATTCCCACTTCAGGAGCATCAGCCAGCTGTTGCTTCAGGTAGCTAAATTTTCTTCCAGATTATTGTGGATGAAAATCAAGTGTTAGAATCTACCACAATTCACTGATTGCATCAACTAAATGGATAACCTCATCAGGTTTACTATGTAGGAAGTAAAAGATGTCAGAGTAGTAGGGTGTCATGTGAAAGGCCCAGTCACAAGGAGGCATACGTCGGTATATTCCTAGTGGCAGACCCAAGCGAGGCCAAATGCTGAGGGTTCTTCAGGACAGGCATCCAGCACGAAGTCTTGGCCAAATCAAAGATGACTGCCTTCAGTAACCAGGGTGCCAGTGAAGCTGTTTTTAAATTGTTTTTTTCTTTGTTTGTTTTTCTCTTCAGTACAGGAGCAATAAAATTGCTTTTGTTCATTCAAATTAGCACAACAGGGGAAAAAGTGACAACAATGAACACACACCAATTCAAAGCAGGCTGAGAGAATCAGCCAATCAATCGCCTACTTTTTGTGCAAAAATGAGGGCTTTTGTTGCACGTCTAAGACACTGGTACACAGCTGTGTGACAGTCTTACATCGTTTTTCCCACAGCATTATTCAGGCTCTGCACAGACGTGAAGCAGAAAGTTGAGCAGAAAGGGTCATGTATATATGCTGTGTGAGTAGTGAATGCTCATATTAAACATATACATATATATAATGAGGCCAGTAAATGTACAAATGATCCCTGTGAATGAAAAGCTCCGGCTTCAGACGTAGAGGATATGATATGATTATCTCAGGCACGGAGCTCTGGGTGAGCACAGAAGCCTACCACTGTTATCCACGCAGCAACGATCACTTCACATCTGTCCTGTTTGTACAGTTTCTATCTTATGCTGTTATTTTTGTGTATTTTGCTCAATGACTCTTGTATGGTGCTGTTTAGTTTTTAAGGTGAGTTTGCTGATAAATTCTTTGACACTGGCTGTTTGTCAGGGTTAAGATTTATTCAGCGACCATAACCAGACCAGCTGGCTAACAGAAGTCTAGGAATGCTCCTATATGCTGCTATATGATGTTTCTGTCAGGCCCAACCCACAAGCCATACTTTGAGAACCCTGCAGCAACAATGCAGCTCATTGCTGTGTCTTTGAATCGTTTGTGGAACACTGTGGCATGCCAACACGTTCTCACTCCCAAAGCATAACATTTTATGCTAGGTGACAAATCGTCGGTATATTACGCTTCCCGGCACCCAACACGTCCCTATATTACTAGATCGGAAAAATGAGAACCGTTTGGAATGAACCTACATATGTATGTTCGTTTTACTTAAATCACTTTGGAAAACACTATCTAACGTCATTAAAGTGCTGGCTAAGGTTAGGGCTGGAATACATGGCTGGAACGTGTAAACCGCGGGAGCGTCATTCTATTGGATTTCATCCATAAACCGGCGCGTAGCATAAGAACGCAGAAGGTCACCTTGGGACTTGACAAATCGTTGGTATATTACGCCTCGGGAGGGCGCGGGGTTTGATGCACACACAGTGGGATGCGTTCTTTGTTTTTGGTCATTTGATGGAATTTGGTGACGATAAGAAAGACACCGCAGACTGTGTAAAGACCTTCTTGCACTTTTCTCAGCTGTGAGTTGTCAATTTATACTGCAACTTTCTGAAAAGTAAAGTTTTGCAATTCTCAAGCCAAGACTGAAAACATGGTACAAATGTGAGCTATAGTGTATCATGATCCCATCTTCCAGTACTGTGACAGCCGGGATTATTACTAGGATAATGAGGTCTACGCTTATTCAACTATGTGCTTTAAATAAAGCCACAACACCAAGAAGAATTAGCATTAAGCTTCCCTGTTTCAATTTCCTGTGACTGTTTTGGAGCACAGTGTCTGAAACTAACAAGTTGAAATGTTTGTGCCTCTTTCAGAGGAAATTTGATTAATATTTCTTTGCTGACAGTGTACATTTTTCAGGTCGAAAAGGCAACTTCATTATTCTATTATTTTAGCTTGTCTCATGCTGTAATAGCTATAAAAAGATGAGAGTGGCTAACCTTTCCCCTCCTCACATTGTTGTGGTAGACATCCATCCATTAAGAGCCAATGGGTGGTGTGAACACTGCCGGCTTCCCTCGGGCTGCGGCACTCTCAGCATGCAGCATCTTTTTCTGAATGCTGAAGCCTGCACTCACTCGTTATTAAAGCTGCTATACTAATTATGTCATAATCATGTGATAAGCCATTGCACATACATATTAAGAGGCCTAGAAAATCCTTTCTGCAACGAGGAATGAAGGCTGTATGGGCTTTTTTGGTTGAATGAAATTACTTCAGTTCTTAAAAAATGAATTTCAGCCGAAAGAAATGTTATTCGAAGATCCCAAATTTAATGCAAAAGTGAGAATAATCCATTAGCTGTAAGCAGCCTTCAGCTGGTCATCGGGACCTGTTCCAGCTTACATGTGGTGAGCTTACCGGTCCAGCTCATACCCACAACTATGGTGTATTTACTATTAGTTTCACTTCAGCTTCTCTTTATTTTCTTAATGCTTTACTAAATACTCGTTAAATCATCAGAGATACGCAGTTTAAAGAGAAATGCATTACTGATGTACTTTTAATATTTCTGCATTAAATCATTTTCAGAAGAAGAAAATCTGGATTTTTCACCTGATCTTAATGATCGCATCTTGTGCTCATATTACAATAATGGTGTGTTAGTTCAAAGATACACTAACAGGTTCAGAGTAGCTAACTAAATAACCACAGAACTGGAAAATGGCCTCAGACTTTGTGTACCTGCTGTTTGCATATGGTGCCACCTTGTGGTCTTTTGAAGTATTGCACTATTCCGCTATTTGCAAGTCTTTAGTGACTGAAAAGTATGCTGTTGAAGAATTGCTTTGAGTCATTGCTCAGTCAGTTTTGCAGCATGAGCACCAGCAGTCACAGTGTAACCAGGCCTTCCTGGCCTCGAGGATAATAAGTGTTTTGCACTTTGTGGTAAATTCTCCCTTCATGGAGTCTCTACACTGCAGACTGTGACAGTGATACGCCTGCATCCTCAAGGGTCCTGACCTACCTTCATGTTGCAAAGTGGTTTTTCTTAATCTGTGATACTTTGAGCCTTTGCTGTTAGCTCCTGTTAGCAACCTGTTGCAACCACATGTTATTGTAAACTGTCTGACTAAGATGTAATCCAGGTTTTAAATTACGATTTCAGTTGCACATTTATTGCATGTTTCCTTAAAGTGCCAAAGAAATGCAAAGTGTTTGCTGTGTTATTTATGTCAGGCTTTTATGTTGGCTCAGTCTGACCCGAACTAACCGCTCATCTCTTCTTTGTCCCTCTTAGGCCTCCTACCGATGACTCAGGAATGCGTAACAATGCTGCCGCCGCTACCACCCTCACTTCCACCCCTCCCAGCAGTCTCCCATCCCAGACGCACCCCTGCAGCCCTCCAGACTCGGCGTCCTCCCTCACCCCCTGCTCTTCACTGCCTCCCTCTGTGTCGCCCACCCTCACAGACGTCTTCGGCCTGCCAACCCCACCTTTGGGCAGCGGCGGCGGCTACAGCCTGAGCTCCTCGTGTGGCGGCAGCGGGAGCTCGCGCTCTCCATCTCCACTTACGCTGATGCAGGCCGTGGCAGCCTCAGGCAAGCCTTTCGCCTCCAAACCCATGGAGCTGTGGAGCAAGCACGACGTGGCGGACTGGCTGGAGAGTCTCAACCTGGGGGAGCACAGGGACGCTTTCCTGGACAATGAGATCGAGGGTGCTCATCTGCCCTCGCTGCAGAAGGAGGACCTGATAGACCTGGGCGTGACAAGAGTGGGCCACCGCATGAACATCGAGAGGGCCCTCAAGCTGCTGCAGGACAGACAAGCCCCGAGGTGACGGGCTGGCGACGTGTGGAGTCAGGGCCAAGGAGAGGGAGGTGTCACGAATCACTTTTACCAATCTCTTCATCAGACATAATCTCAAGACGTGGAACCGGGTGGAAGTTTTGTCCAAGCTGATGCTGCCTCTTGCTGTGTTTGTCTCCTCCCATCCTCCGCTGTCGGCCTCATCTCAGTGCTCCAGTGTTGTTCGCCCTCTTCCTGCTTCCCACTGTCCTGAGCATCAGGGGATCATGGGATGTTTGGGGGAACTGCAGGGGGAGAAAGAAGAGAATAGCTGCTATGTCAAATCAAGGCGAGAGAAAGGAGGACAGTATGTGGGACTGTAAAGAAAACAACATATTCTGGAAACACTGGGAAAAAACACTTGTCTGGAAGTTTCTTCACACAAAGACTCGTGGTCACCTGACTGCTTTGGATACTCAAGACTTTTTCCATACACCCCGGTGTGGGTGCATGAAAACCCAGCTGAGCTGGTCGTTGCTCCTTTTCTATCTTTGCTAGAGTTTGTTCAGAGAATATTTCTTCACTAGAGTCCTACCGGAGTTATATTTCTGGGTGCATCTAAGGTTGTAGAGAACAATTTGAGATAGACTTCATTTTTGTTCTTTTTTGTTCTTTTTTGCTTTTCACCTGTTTGTGTCAAAACAACAGCATTTGCTGACATGTTTAACTAATACTAAACCATATCCACACACACACTTTCTGCACAGTGCCACAAGCTGACGAATGAGATTTCACACAGTCTTTACATCCTGAGCACTTACACACATGTAGTTACTGCGATGGCCTTCTTCCCTGACAAAGATCAAAGTGTGGAGAGGGGTGGTCACCAGAGGAGGAGCTGCGCCTGAGCTGGGTCCGTGAAGTCCTGCGGCACCTGCTCGGTGTCCACCTCGTGACTCAAGAAAAACCAAGGTGAGGATGCAAGATGGACGTACAGATGTTGGAACAGGAAAATGGTTGTGCCAGCTTCGCTGAGAGTGCGTCCTTCTCCTCTCTCGGTTTTTCCTTTCCTACTTCTGTGTGCATGTGTGTGTGTTAATAGTTCACCCAAAATATCATTAAGGTCCATTTAACTATTTCTATGAATCTGCTATATAGGGCACTTATAGGGAAACTAAAAGTGTTACTTTTTGTATTTTTACCATCAAATCTTCTTCACTTACAGCAGGTCGGCACCTGCCCACAGTATGGCCCACAGTAACGCTAACGTACCAGACACCCTGTGTGTAAGTGGTAGAACAGAGTGGTTATTACACTGTGTGTTTCTAGCATTCGTGCATTATTTTGGGAAATCCACTTACTCGCTTTCTTGCTGTGAAATAGAAAGATCGATATCGCTCTCTTACTGGTCGCTGAGAGCTGGAGTGAAATGCAAAACATCCGTCCACCTGTTTTATGCTCACTTTCAATGAGAGCAGAAGATATGACACATCGATACGCATAAACACGCATTTATTCAAACAAAGGAAAACTATCAACCAACAATCTAGCCCCAAATGATGCGTGTGGTCTAAACCTTACTAAGCTTCCACTGTGTGGGATGATGAGAAGATGGTCAAGTTTTTCACTTGAGTTTGACTTTCAACTGGAACTTTGTCATTTCAAGAGAGAGACTGTCTTTCACAAACTAGTACCAACTACTCGGCTTTGCTACTTTGATAAATGTACTGCAGATAGTGCTGACAGGGTTCTTACACTGGATCCAAGCTAGGAGACATCATCCTGTAGTTTGTTTATATACATTTCCCTTGTTTTTCCTGGTCCTTAGCAGGATATAACACCGGACAGCAGTAATGCACCTACAGGCTGTTTGCATCGTTAAATCACAAAAATGAGAGAAGGCCACCAGAGGCCTGTACTGTGCAGCAGGATTTTAGGCCATCCAAGTAACTTCTGGGTTAACTCTTGGTTTTCTGTAGTGCAAAGGTGGTTGACATCATACTGGGGTACATCGCTATGGTAACTTACGATGTCCACCTAAGTCATTGGCTACTGACCAATCAATTCTCCAGAAAATAGCAGGATCCCTCTGACCTCTACAGGCAGAGTAGGAGGGACTAAAGTCTTTCAGCAGTGCCTAATGTCTCTGCGCTTCCCTGATGATTATCAGAAATAAATATAGATTTGTAGATATAACTTTATAATTGAATGTTTTATCCGTCAGCTGCATCCTAAAACAGGACACCTACACTGTACTTGCTGTCCTCATATGACATCTCTGCACAGATTAAACCTTTGAACTGTTTTTATATTTAATCTGTCAAACCCCTTAAACAGCACTGAGTCTGCAGCTGAAAGAATAAAAACTAAAACTGTCAGGAGAAGGTTACAGATTGTAGATTCTCTGCTGGGGAAACACATTTTACATGTGCAGCTTGTTAAGCTGGACCTACAACCACAGATGAAGCGTAAACTTTCCCACTGTCCCCCGAATGTGCGCATATAAATTTGGTGATTTAGAAAATGTGTAAAATGTTGTTATACTTGATTCTGATCTGCTGCGAGATATCTTTTGCAGCTACTGGGATGAAGATCGCCCAGCAAGAGCACCTGTTCAACCAGTCAGATTCATTTCTCCTTTATCAGGCTGTGGGCAGTAACATTTAATGTTTAAATGACTCCTGTTTAACGTTTCAGATCTTTAAAGTGCACCTTAAAAACAAACAGCAGCATGGAGAGAGCATTCAGGAATAATATAAATGTTGCAGCTGTGTGCGAGAAATCACCAGATTCATGCTTTGTAGCACTGCTGTCCCATCTTATTTGCAGCAATGTTGCATTTGCTGTTAGATTTTTATCATCATCTGATTGGTGTGGGTGACACTCACAGGGATCGTTTTGTGTGGAAGAAGACTCATATATGACCAGTGAAATGCTCCTTTCAGATTGGTCAAATGCTGCCAACACCACTCCTTTCATATACCTGTGCTGATGAAACCCTAAATTAGTTTTGGCAGTTGATAACCAGCTTTGAGTGACCACTTATCCTCATTGCTAATGTTAGGATGAGTGAATCCACATAATGGCAAGTTGGTTGTGTAGAACTTGCTGTGGTACAGGGCCCAGGTGTTCTAACTCCGTACCAGATACTGGACTGGTAAATCATCTGTCTGCTAAAGTGTTTGCTTTATGAGACAGACATGCTGGAAGCATTACACTTAATCCAAAGATTAAGTAAATGGTAAATGGACTGGTTCTAGCGCTTTTCTACTCATCTGAGCACTCAAAGCGCTTTACACAACTTGTGCATTCACCCAAGCACACCTTTCTAAGATGTGCGTGAATGCATAGCTAACATTCACACACTCACATGGATGCATCGGAGAGCAATTTGGGGTTAGTATCTTGCCCAAGGATATTTGGCATGTAGACTAGGGGAAGCCAGGAATCGAACCACCAACCTTCCGATCAGTGGATGACCTGCTCTACCTCCTGAGCTACAGCCACTCACGTCAGTTACTAGTGAATATCAGTATTTTTACTTTAAATGTCAGTCCTATTTAGAGCACACACCTGTTTCTAGATCACTGAAGGATCATTTTTTCTGTATTATAAAACAAAAAAGGTTTCGTACATATCGGACAAAACATACACGGACACAACACGTTAGTATCCAATAATAATCAGTTGGAATATCACGTGATTCTGTGTAGAAAAGGACACTCATTTAGAAACAATGTTTCTCTTTTACGACTGCATTTACAGCTTTAGAAGGTGTAGACAGTAAAAAGTCAAACTCAGGTACACTAACTAAATTGCTCAGTTGAAGAATGCATTGACTTATAGAAGTAGGTAAAACTGAGATGTTCATGCAGTTCTCTGTGCAAAGTAGGTTAGCTTAGCATCGAGTCGAGCCGCAGGTTGTGAAAAGATTTGTTGGTGAGGACCTTTATCTTGTCTTTGATTATTGAGGTGGATATTTCTCCCTGAGCTCGACTCACAGACAGAAGACTGGTGCAGATTTTCTTCCTGGAAGAAAGCGGTGTGTGTATTTCCCAAAATACTGAGCTGCTTAAGGTTCTCACTGGATGGCGTTTTGTTGCGTTTGAATCCAGTGTGAAATCCTTTACAAACATCCTTTTGTTTACTTTTGAACTTTTACATGTTTGAATATACCAGAATGCTTTAAGCAAACTAACGTTTAAGAACTTCAGTTCAGTGATTGGTATTTCAAAAGCTACGATAAGTAACATATTTTTATGGAGCAAAAAGGATCATTGAAACATTTTGTATGCTGTTTTTTGCTTATGAGGAAAATAATAATAAACTGTGTGCATTTGGTTAACTTGAGTTCAAATCTGACCAGATTCAAAATGGAAAAACTGGAACAGTCCTTCGTGGTGGCAAGCAGCACTAAAGCAAACTAATGGTCACCGACTCTGAAAGCAGACTCTTTGTCTTTAGGGCGTAACAGGACACTTTCTTCTAAACGTCCTTAACTGCAAGCTGGAGTCAGATGTCATCGAATCACGCTGAACCATTTTCGAGCTTTGGGTTTTACATAATTATGTGTTCACATTGCCGTCTCCTACATTCTAACCACTGTGCAAGAAACGGAGAATAATCACTTGACCAAGCCAGCACGCGGTCATCAGTGTGAGCCCGGCGTGAGAGCAGACAGGGATAGAAAACTGCTGCTCGATTCGAGTCCCATAGTTTCACCGCAGCAGAGGCAGGATTCAGACCGAGGATCCAGTTTAAACCCAAGTCAGACGGTGCGTTTGCCAGCAGTGATAACGGGTTAGTCGGAAGTAGAAGTGCAGTATGCGCTGTCGTGTATATAAGAGTGTTTAAATGGATTAAAATGTCTATTAGATTATATGTATAGATCTATTCAGATGTTTAGAAGAAAAAAATTCTAAGAAGATAGATTTATTGTTGTCAGAGCTGACCTGATGACCTAAGCACTGGTCTCATTTGCCCCGTCATCATCTGTAACCAGCTCGCCCCCCTCCGCCCTCCACCTCCGTCAGTCACACAGCTCCGTAGGTAGAAGGCGCTCTCTCCAAGTAGATTTTTTCAGAGCACTCTTAGATAGAGCGTTGATATGTGCTTGACAGTAAGCAGTGTCTGGAAATATATCTGGTTTTCTTCTGCCCTTATTTGCGTTCATGTCGCACTCCACAGCTTCACGTAGGCGCTGCTTTTTGAGGTGACAAATGAAACATACACAAGTTCTGTGTTCTGTGAACATTAGCCGTACAGAGGCCGGCACGGGACAATGCTGCTACAATCCTGTTCCTGTTTGAACTTCTTTTCAAAACACGTACAGTGGCGTGCCAGGCGGGGTAGAAAAGCACAGTATTTTTAAAGATTTGTATAGAGTTCTATGAAATTTTATAGAGGTTACCTGAACAAAAACTGTTCAACACTGATGTGTGGATTGCCAAACAGAAATACCATATATACGTAGATGCGATGTGGATATTATTAAACTTATGGGTTATGTAAGAAGCAATATTTATTCTAACTGAATCTCCTTGGTTGTGTTTTCTTTTGCCATTTTAAAGTTACATATCATGATGCAATCACTTGTCAGTGTTTTATTAAGCGTTGCCTAAAATAGATGCACTCTCTACTGCAGTAGTAATACTTTGGCCAATCAAGTGACCACTGAACCCAGGCTTTGAAATCCCCGAGTCTGGGTTTTTTGTTAAAAAACACAAAAGTTACATTTCTAAAAGTATATCTGCAGGCCATGTTGATAGGAAACTATATGAAACGTATATATATATATATGTGTGTATGTATACATACAGAGATCCACCAAAAAGATGTGCGGTGCCTGTTGATCCCTTCCTGTGGATCAGTGGGTCACTCAGCACTTTTATCTGTGGACATGTAGAGCTGAGTAGATGTAGTAATAATCTTTAAAGAGCATCACCGTAGCGTGGCGTTTCACCGGGCCGTGTTCACCACAGGCATGGCTCACTAACCCACTTCCACTCCCCGTCAAAACACTGCTCCCACTCTATCATTGTCCAACATTTGGGTAACTTTTTCTTTTTTTTGTATTTTCTTTTTGATCAATTAAGTTCTGTTTTTTTTCCATGAATAGATTTTACTCATTGATTAAGTCTTCATAGAGGCTAAGATGTTTTCGGTAATTTGTGCAAAGACTTGTGTTCATGTTTTCTATGTTGCTGTAATTTTGTGCTATTAAATCATCATAGAGTCAACTAATTACTGAAATGAAAAGAGAGAGAATTTTCCTGTAACTGCACTCTTCCTTCCCCCTCCCCCCTCAATTCCTCAAAACTTCTTGTATGGCAACCAAAATTCACTGTAAGAAATAAATATAATATTGCACTACTGTATCCCTCTCAGTCCTTATAGTACAGGCCTGGTGCGTGGGTCTAAGTGTCTGTGTGTCAGCTAAGAAGCAGCCAGCCACACCTGAGGTAGTCTGTCTGTGGGGATGAACTAAATCCCGTCATCTGGAATAACAGGAAGCATCTTTTCTTTATTACGCAGACGCTGAATGCTCATATAACTGCGTTTTGTTGTCCTGCTTTGTACGTTCCACAGTTACGGTCTCTTTGTTTTTGGTATGTTGGCTGAGAATCGTGTGCATCGCCAGAATAATCAGACGATTACACCAGAGCGTTTCCTTTTTTTCATTGAATAGGGTGGTCCAGAGAAAATCAGAAAAATTGTGTAAAAATTCCTACTTAAGCACAGTAACAGCGAGTGCTTAGCAACCTTAGTATGGATGAAGATGTAGCTGGAGAGCAGTGAGGTAAAAGTAGTTATGAAGAATAAGTTGGATGATGATGTTTCTGCATCACAGATGCACAGGGACCCTCCCAGGAGATGATTTACATACTAACTCCATTAAACTGAACTCAGCTGCTCCTTTGTCACGTGTCACCACAGCAGGAAGCTCCAAATGTGATGTGTCCTGTCCTTACAACATCCACCAATGGATTTGTGTCTCCAGCTGGAATCAAACCAGTGACCTTTTGCTTGCCAAGTGAACGCTTGAACCACTACATTATGGAGCCACAAACAGAGAACAATATTAATCTTCTAAAGTATTGAGTGATTAAACTTTAAAATATATTAATCCAATTCCACGTCAAAGTTTCTAAATTCCAGTATTTATTTAGTACATTGTTCAGTTAAACAGAAATTCTTTTACTCTGTTTCCATGAGAATAAACACAGACCAAAGATTTTTTTGGATGTGTGTCACTGGGCCGAGGCCTCCAGCTGCTGGAGGGGGGTGCTCCTGGATTCCCTGTTCCTTCATCCTCGACCCCTCCCTCCTCGTAGAGCAGCATCCAGATACACCTGGTAGGCCAACTGGGGGCATCCATTAAATGAGGTGGGTGCAAGCTGGCTGGGCTGTTTGTTTCTCCTGTTCTCTCTCTTTCAGGTGGATTCGTTAGCCAGGCTGCAGTCGGTCTCAGCCTCTGGGTGGAGCATTCTTATCTGGCCTGCCTCGCACACCTGTGAGTCATCTGTTTCTTTCATTTAAGACTGCTGTGTAAGTCTGGGCGAGAGGTGGGGTACACCTTGGACAGGTCACCAGTCTGCAGGGCTAACACAGCGAGACAGACTACTGCTGTAGCTCAGGTGGTAGAACAGGTTACCTGCTAACTGGAAGGCTGGTGGTTCAATCGCTGTCTGCTCAAGTCTGCATGTGAATAAACCACAAGACTTCTGTAGCAATGTGCTTTGGACAGGTGAGGTCAAACTTACTGTAACCTGTAACGGTGGTTGGACGTGTGGTGATCTGAGCTTGTTTTGCAGCCTTGGGCTGAATACAAAGCTTAACGTGCCCGGGGAATCTTTCCATTTACTGGCTTCACGCTAACATCAGCAGTCAGGATAAGAATCACATGATCCAACTCACCAACCTAGCGTTTCCTGATCTAGGTACAAGCTTGTTCACGTGAAAGGAGAATGAAAGTAATCCAGCTGCTGCAGATAAAGTAGTGATGTGAGACTGAGAAGAGTCATCAAGTTAAAGGTAGGAATAAAAACCGACCGCGCTGATCTGTTCTCATCGACCAGTCCATTAATTTAATGTTTATATTTGCATTAGACTGTTTTAATTGAGTTCCATTTTATTTATGCAGCACCAAATCATAACAGCAGTCGCCTCAGTTTTTATTCTTGGAAAGCTGCAGCCCCAATGTTTCATAGTCTGAGAGCAAGTAAAGCACGAAAACAAAACCAGAGTTCAAATGCAGGCATAGTCTACCTGTACAGTACAAACGGGTGCGCTGGTTTATATGTTAATGCTTATAGAACAACAAAACTGTTTGCAGTGAAAAAGGAAAAAAATTCAAGTCATGTGTTGTTACCTAGGACCAGATGGTATGCCCCAGT